TCCACTGCCCGAAGGGGATGATATCTGTCGTTGGTGATGACTGCGGCAGAGACAGTTAGATGTCCTCCAACATTGTCCACCCTTCTATTACCTAAGTGTAATAGAACCTCTGATTTTTGTCTGGTTTTATCTACATTTCCAGCCTCTCTAGAGATTAGGTGTCTCAGGGGACTAACTTCAGGCCAGTGGGGTGAAAGAGAAAGTGTTGTTTGACAGGGAAGCTTCTCCAAACTGACATCCTCTTTACCCCCTCTTCACACTTCCCACCAACTGGAATACAGAAATGATGGCTGGAGCTCAAGCAGCCACTTCAGACATGAGGTGGAAGCTACATTATGAGGATGTCAAAGCAACAAAATAGAAATTTAGGGTTCCTGATGATTACAGAGAGCCCACGCAGTTCTGGGCTGCTTATATCTGAATTTCCTTTATGTGAGACACGATCTTCTATTGTATGTTTTCTGTCCAATGCCTGGATCCTGTATTATTGCCAGCTCCAGTTGTGAGAACATGCCGGAGCAAGAAGCAAATGCAGCCTGAGGAGTCAGAATCAGAGGTTTGTTGGGGAGGAATTTTACATCCTTTGGATTTTGTCAGATAGAGAAAGTGAGGCCCTGTGAGGCGAGGCTTACCGAAAACTGACAACAGAACAGAACTGGGCACCGCTTCCTTCCCTGCAGTTCAGGGACAGTCGGCTTTACCTTCGTCCACCCCTTCCTCTTTTTATACCCTCCCATTGCAAACTGAGCTGGGCCCCTGGGTGGGGGTGGGAGGGTCCTCTGACTATGACTCAGTGTGCGTGAGTGAGTGTGAGTGTGTGTGTGTGTGTGTGTGTGTGTGTGTGTGTGTGTGTGTGTAGGAAGAGGTGTGGCCTTTACTGAAGGGGCAGGAGTAACGGACAGATCCTTCTTCAGCCCAGCCCTACCAGAAAACAAGGATGACGGGAAAGGCAGCGTCCTGAGGGGGGTGAACCCAAGGGGCAAGGAGTAACTCGACTACTCCGTCCAAGTCAGCCCCTTAAGTCCTCTGGGAAAGTGGCTGAACTCTGTTTTTAGAGTCCTACCAACACACACACACCCCATACAGAGGCACACTTGGCCCAACTCCCAGCACCTCATACCACACCAAGTACCATCTGTCCCCTCGAAGGTCCTCAGCTTCAAGGAAAAGTTTGATTCTCCGTGTTTTCCTGCAAAAGAAGCCAAGAGAACAGGGCAGGACCTCATCTAAGATCACACAGGGGTTTGAGGCGTATCTGGTGTTGTTCCGTTACCCTTGAAACAGCAGGTAAGGGCTCTTCTGAGCCCCCACAGGGCTTGGGGCCCAGCCATGCCCTTTTGGGGCCCTGCTCTGGTCGTTGTGTCATGGGCTATCTGGTTTAGAAACTGGCCCCTGAGCAGAAGTGGGGGTGGCTTCCTTCTGCGCAGCTGGTTGGGGCTTGGCTTGACCTCATTGCTGGGGGGCTTAGCTGCAGCCCCAGGCTTCCCTCCCTCTGCTCCCCGCTGTGTAGGGCACTCCTCTGTGCAGACCCACTGAGGGTTTAGACTCTGTGTTATCCCCCTGGGTCCACAAGCACCCATGGAGATCCTTATTCCCATTTTATAGATGAGAGTCCAAGCAAGGCTGAGAGGTGAGGAGCCCATACCTCAAAGCTCCACGGAAACTGAGCGCCAACTCTGGACCCCAAAGCTCCACACACTCAAACTCACACTGTTCCTCGACTGCCCAAGGAGAGCTTGTGTGAAGAGCACAGTGGTGAGGCCGCCTGGAAGTTAGCTCAGCCATGACGTACTTACCACTTTCACTGAACCTTGACTTTCTCACTTGTAAAATGCAAACAGCCTGTTGTGAGGGTGCTGGAGATAAGGCGTGGAATGCCCTCTGTGACCGCAGCTCAGCTTGGGAGTGCTCACGTGCCACTTGGCGCTGCTCACCCCCACCCTCAGCATGCCTCACGCGGGGGGGGGGGGGGAACCAGCCCCATCACCCCCTCAGTTCCTTCTCAATCCCATTGTCTCCTCCAACCCAAGGAAAGGGCACCCCAGAGGCAAGAGGCCCAGGGTACCCCCCTTCCCTCCTGCCAGAAAGAGGACAGGCAAAATCAGATGTTTCCCAGATGTTGCCAATTGTGAGCAAAACCACAGCACACCAGGAAGCACATCTCTGAGGCTCAGGCCTGCTGCTGGGGGTGTGAGAGCCCCAGGAGGGAGGCGGGATGTGGGGGTCGGGGGGGGGGATAGGTTGGGGTCTGGGGGAGGGCGCTAACTCAGAGAGGTCTTCTAGGGTAAGATTCAGGGGAAGGGACTGCCATCAGGTTGGTGACAGTAGGTGAGAAGGGGGGTGTGTGACAAGGAGATAGAAGTATGGGGGCTCAGAAGAGACTGATGAAACTGAAAGTTGGGGAGTCTTAGGGGCTCCTGGGGCAGACGGGCCACAGCTGACCTGCTTCCATTGCCTCCCACCCAGCCTGGATCCCAGCTGCACAGGAAAGAACTTTAGAACCCCCGCTCCGGCCCCCAAGGGGCACAGGTGCCCTCCTGGGCTGTCTCAAAGGTAACGAGTTCCCTGTTTCTGTTCCCTGGGAGCAGAAACCCAGGAAGGGACCCAGGCCTGAGCAGCAGTTTGGACAGGACAGTCTCTGCCCAACCCAGGCCAAGAGGCTTAGCGTGTAGGGACTAGACAGGCCTCCTTGAGGCCCCGACCTTGGCACAGCCAGACGTAGCCATGTCCCCCTCCTGTGGACACCCAGCCGAGGGACACAGCCGTGCCCTCGCCCCTTGCCATCTCCAGGCAGTCAGCCAGGCCGAGACGGGCAGCGGCTTGGGGACGAGCTGTTTCTGACATATTCCCTAGAACATGCTGGCTTTGTCCTCCAGCAAATCTGTTCCTGGAAGGTCAGGGGTGGGGGTTCTGAGGCTCAAGTCTCCCCAGATGCTCTGATGCAGCTAGAGCCAGGCCTGTGCCACTACAATTGGACTTTGCGTGGCCCCATGGCCCAGAGTGACGCCTGCGCTGTCACGGCGTCCCAGGGCCAGGCTTGGGGCTACCCACGGCCCAGGCACAACCTCACTCAGCCACCGCAGTCCAGGGGGGATGCCGACACCCACAATTTAGAGCTGAAAAAACCGAGTCACGGAGAGGCCACATGATTTATTCACAGCCTCCCAGAGCAGGAAGGAGCGTGCAAGGGGCTCCCACTCCATGCTCCCCCCTCCGCTCAGTCTTCCCATCTGTGGGATGGAGAGAGTGCCCATGGCATGACCTCACCGCTCCCAGGCCCTTCACTGCCCAGCCTGGACTGGCCAGACTCACCAATGGGCCTGTGAAAGAAATAGGGTCCATTCTAAACACTGCACAGATTGGGGGGGGGGGGTCTATGCCCCCAGGGGAGCCCAGGCTGGGCCTGGGGCAGGAGCACCCAGGCATGAGAGTCGGTTCCAGCCAACTCTCCAGCTGTTCTCTGCAGCCAAAGCTGCTTTGAGGCAGAGGGACGTGCGTGAGTAATGGAAACCAGGCAGTGAGGCCTTCCGAAATGGGAATTCCATCTGCCTGACTTTGTTCTCCTAGACTTTGGTTTCCAGGGCAACTTGGGAAGAGGTGGGGGGAGATGGAGGGCCCCCGGCCAGAAGGCTAAATCCCAGGAACCTGAAGAAAGGGGAGGTGAGTGTCCCTCAGGCTCCAGAGTCTTCTCCAAGGAGCCACGGGGAGGTCAGGCCAGGCTGGGACTCAGAAGCCGTGGGTTCTGTGGCCAACCGTGCCCACGTCATCTTGGGGAGCATGAGTGAGAGTGCAGCACTCAGCTTTCCCGTGGCCAGGCCCCCCCATCTCAGGCCTAGTCAAAGGTGCCCTTGCTTGAATCAGGAGCCAAGCTCTGCTGGCCCCCCGCTGCCAGCCTCCTGAGGGCAGGTGTTATCACAGGTGGCAAGGGCCCACACATTTACGGAGCCAGCAGAGCCCACCGGCAGGTGCAACACCAGCCCCCAGAGACCCAGCCCACTGGAGGTGCTCATGCCCCCGTGTCAGGGGAGAATGTCTAATGTGCCCCGAGCACTTACTAGATACCTAGCCCCAGTTAAGCCCCGAGATGGTCTCCTTGCGCAAGGGGCACACGAGGGGACAACTGGCCTTGCCCAGGGGGGGCCAGAGAGGGGAGGCAGGGCTCGCTCAGCCCCACGCCCTTTGCGTCCCTAAGTCTCCAGTGGGGGAGACCTGAGCCCAGGTCACGCAGGGAACAAGAGGCAAGGAGCCCGGACCCCTGGCCTCCGGCAGCAATTCCATCTAGCTGAGCCCACGCACACTGCAGGGCACACCCTGCGCCCTGGCCCCAGACTCTGGCAGCTTGAAGGTGAGAGCTTCAGGGTGAGCCTTAGCATCAGCTCAGCCCGGGCCCCAGGCTCCTCCCCATGACCCAGGGCCTCCCCTGCAGTGCGGCTTCTCCTCAACTCCTAAACCTGCGGTCTGTTAGGCGCAGACAAGGAAGCCTTCCCCAGGGCCACCACCTCCTGCCCAGTGACTCCGCCTTAAGGCCTCACCCACTTCTGTCAGTCATCCCTGTGCCATCTCAAAGTCTCGCTAGACCCCTCCGGGTGTGGTGGACAGAGAAGTGAAGGAATGTGCAGAAGGCCACACAGCCAGGGGGTGCGGGCACGCTCCCTCTTCTAGAGAACAGCCATCCAGAGCACAGGGTTTACAACCAGTCAGGCTTACGCTGACCTGTCTCTGCGGCTTGGCAACTGTGTGGCCATGGACAAATCACCTTGCACGCCTGGACTTCATGTTCCTCATCTGTAAAGTGGGGACTCCCCCGCCCAGGCTTGTAGAGAAGCAGAGATGGGAATGGAGCAAGCACGGCCACGCCTGGGCCACAGGGCAGTGGCCACCGGGCAGCATAACTGCGGCTCTAGCACGAGTCAGGGGGTGGCAGGAGAGAAGCTGTGCTGGCCGTTGAGTCACCGGCCCTCCCGTCCCCATTGACCGTCTCTCAAAACCAGGGCCACACACAACAAGAAATAACACAGGCCTTTTATTTGCTCCAGAACTTGGCTACTGTGTGGTCTGAGGGTGCCACGCTTTCCCGGAGCCCCCCAGGGACACCTGACCCAGGGGTGCTGCATTTCCATGAGAGGTCAGGCTGCAGCACACGCCCCTCAGGCCCCGTTACAAGACCCAGCTGCCTGCCGCTGGTATCCAGGACCAGCGAATCCCCTGATGCTGGAAAGTGGTGCCCACCTTCTGTCGAGGCGGCTTTTCACAAGGCGTTGGTTAAAATATTGCACTTGTAAATTAGGAAAACTGATGAGGCAAAGGTTTCCTATCACAGGACGACGTGCCAAGCATCCAACTACCGTTGAAATAAATAAAACTCAGGCGAGGGTCTGAGTTGAGTCCCAGTGGCCCCCGCGACCCAGGAGGACCCCTGAGCCCAGCCCCGGGTCCCCTGCCCCATCAGCCAGTTCTTTGAGGAACTTGGTCAACTCAGAGTCTCCTTAGCAGGGAGCAGGAGCTCCAGATCTGGCTCAGCCAGGGTCCCCAGCCTGCCAAGGCCCTTGAGCCCCCTTGTACCGGTGCAGTGGGGAGCCCCCCCCACCCAGGGCCAGACCTTCTACTCCTCCAGTGGCCTGGGTCTCTCTTGGTCCAGGCCTCGCATCCAAATGTCCATCTGTCTGTCCAAAGACGTAACCTCCGGGGGCGTGCTTGCCCCCTCTGCTGCAGAGGGGAGGGAGGCGGGTGGGAGGGGGCCCCAGCCCGCTTGGCGTCAACAGTGAGTTCTATCTACCCTGGCAGCCTCTAAAGTGGAGGACTCATCTTCTTCTGGTTAATGAGGTCCAGGTAGAGGTCCGAGCGGAGGAAGCGTGGGTACGAGTCCTTTTCCATGAGCCCGAAGATGCGCTTCTGTGCCAGGTCGAAGCAGCCTCGCGTGACGCTCTGCAGGTTGCCCCTGGTGTGCTCCCGTGTGTAGGAGTCCAGGTTTACCTGCCGAGGCGGAGGGTGGCACGGTCAGGGGCTTGCTCTGAGCCCGAGGATGGGGCCGGGGCCTCAGGTCCCCATCTCAGGCTTCAGAGTGGAGCCCTGAGCTAGGGGGCCCCAGTCCAGCCTGGCCACTGACAGCAGCCACCAGCAGGTAGTGTGTCTGGAAACCACCTCCGAGCCCAGGCTGCATGGTGCCCCAGCCCTGCCACGTGGAGGGATGTGGCCTACACTCATCCCTGGCGTGCCTGAGCCGGGGGTCTTATCTACAGGTTAGGAATGCTAGAACCATCCTCAAAGGGTTGTAAAAAATCGAGCCAGATCATCCTTAGTAGCTAGGGATTAAACGAATAGATCAACCCCTGGGCTTTCACAGGCAGTAAGCACTCAATAGGCATTAGCTGCTCTGATTAGGTTCTTGGGGGCCATCTCCTTAGTTTCAAAGTGAAGTTAACATTCAAATCTACTTTACAGGTTTTCAGGAGGGTTAAAGACACCCAAGGAAAGGGCCTGGCACACGCCTGCCACACGGCGCCTTCACGGAGGCCATGCTCCCATCGGTGGGACTCCTTCCTTCCCCTGGGCCCAGCTTGCTTCCTCTCCCTTTCCTGAGTTCCTCCTTGAGGCTGTCAGGCACCCCCAATCATGGAGGGGCCCCTGGGCATGGGGTGAGGGGCCTGCGGGCCCAGGCTGACGTCCTACCTCCTTGCACGCCTGGATTGCGATGTACTCAGCAAAGATCTTCTTGGCTTTCGCTGTCATCTTGGACTGTGACTTGACCTTCTTGAAGTCCTCACACGCCAGCCAGAATTCCAGGTTCTCCTCACTAAACTCAGTGCGAAGGAAGGCCTGGAACACTGCTAACCCATCTGCAAGGGAAAGTCCAAACCCTGGGGTCAGACACAGAAGCAGCCCCTTGTGTCCTTGGGAGCACCCCCCAAGTCCTCCCAGGGTCCCCAGCCCGGAGATGATCAGAGTTCAGTAAGATGATCCACTCCCAGAAGCCAGGAGCCCTGGAATATGGTGCCACCCCGGCCACTGCCTCTTTGTGGGCTGTGGTCGGGTCTGCCCCCAATCTGTGCCTCAGTTTCCCCATCTGTAAGCTGGAGAGCATCAGCCCCGGCTCCCGGAGCCTGCAGGACCTGAGGCGGTGGGCACATTTGGCCCAGTGCAAGCGCCCAGTACATGGAAATGTTTATTGTTATTCTGGGAATATGAGCGTGAGCACACAGGTCCCAAGGGCCTCTCACGGCAGTGCCAGCTCCCATGGACAGGAGGGGCTGGCAGGAGCCGGCTCCAAGGCCAGACCAAGGGCCTCTCCCGCGCCAGGGACACCTGGCTGGGCCCAGGAGCGAGGGAAAGGCAACCTGTCCCGGGAAAGGCAACCTGTCCCGGACCAGGCAAATTCTGCGTCCGGGAGAAGGGAGAGGGAAAGGAGAAAATGAGTAGGGAGGGGAACAGGCCTCTTGGCCCCCACTTACATTTGTGAAGCAGCAGCTTCTCCAAGGACTCGCCCCACTTGAGGGCTTCTTCCGAGGTAGGCCTGAGGGACAAGGGAAGGGGTTCAGTGGGGTGGCTGCGGCTGGGCGGCCTCCATTAGCAGACCTCGGCCCAGGTGCAGCCGACTCGGGAGACCAAGAGGGACCCCTTTATTTCTTGGGGTCGTCAGCATCACCTCTAGTCCCCACCTCCACCCCTGGTGGCCGGCAGTCCTCAGCGGCTGCCTGCAGGTACCAGGGCCCCTTAGAGAGAAGCAGCCAAGGAAACCCCTTCCCCTCAACCGGTCCTGTTCCCCCAGAACCCAGCGGTGAAGCCAGGGGCCGGGGTGTCAGGGAGTACCTACTTCAAGGACTTCATCATTTTGTCTGCCTTGCCCGCTGGCTGGGCCCCAGGGGACTCATTCCTCCGCCTGAAGATGGCCAGCTTGTTCTTCATGTCCTTGGCTCTGGGGGCAGAAGCAGAGAAGGGGGTCGGTCAGCCTGGCACACTCAAGCCCTGCAAGCCAGGGCGTGGAGAGTGTGGGCTGGGCTGGGGCACCTACTCCTTCATCGTGTGCCGCCTCTGGAGGTTCCCGTTGCGCGTGAGGTACATGCCTCGCAGCATCTCTGCAGGGCCCCCACCTCAGGGCCCCCCGGAGGGTGTGCAGGGAGCACCCGGGCTCCTGTCTCCCACTCGCGTCCCGGGCCCAGGGCAGCAGCGGGGACTCCTGTCTCCCACTCGCGAGCGCCGGGATCCCAGCCGGACGACTGGCCGGCCGGGCGCAGGCCGGGCTGGGGCTCAACCGGGAGGAGCCAGGAAATGGGAGGGACCAGGAGGGGGAGCGGAAAAAAATCCCTCCCGGCCAACCCTGAGAGGGAGCCCTGAAAGGGGCATGTGTCTGCCAGGGGGAGCCTCTGGGGCCCGCCCCGGCAGGAAGCCAGACCCTGTTATTTGTGACCGGCCTCCCCGTTACCATGGCAGCGCCGGGGGAAGGAGGAGAAAACAAGTCAGCAAATTGCAGGGAGGGTGGGAGGGCAGCGAGGCTCTGCCCACCAGAGCGGCGGGCCCGGCTATTTTTAGCCCAGAACCACTTTTAGCCTTGCCACGCCCCCACCCCCTGAGGCAGCAGATTTCGGAGCTGGTGAAGCTGGCAAGAAAGAGGTGAAAGGCCCCCCTTGTCCCTTAGGCCTCCAACAGCCGTGTCTCCAGGGGGTCCCCAGCCCGCCAACCCCTGGCTCCAGCCGCCACGAATCTGCAGGCTGTCCCAAAGGGCTTCGTCAGTTGGAGACCTGAATCGCTTCACAAGTGCCAAACCTTTGCAAAGCGCCACTGAAGGATGTATTTTCCTTTGTTAACACACATTTCGATTCGTGCTGTTTGCAAGATAGTTTCCCCATTTTAAAGCGTGGTTCCCAGCCTTCTAATGGAAGGTAAAAACAAAACAAAACAAAAAAAAACGCGGGCTGGAACCCGGAGTTGCAATTTAAAATTTTAAAAGTAGCCATCAGCCGGAGTAAGTGTAAAGGCGATTTCAATCACTCCACTTTGCCTTGCACCTTGTAAAGGTGTATTATTTATTCTTCTGAACTTATTCTAGCTTCAAACGGTGCTAAGAGTGTAATTAGGGGAAGTGACTCTCAAGGCAGGTTCAAGTCCCAGCTCCCACAGCTACCTACCAACTGGGTGCCCTGTGTCAAGATGCCTAACCTCTCTGAACGGCAAGCGGTCTCTGCCCTCTCACAGGAATGCTGGAGTTGCTTCACGCCACGTCAAACCGTGTCTGGGGCCAAATAAACGCTCAGGTGAGGACCTGAGCCCCTACGTGCCCAGAGGGTCTGGAGACCCGGCCCTGAGAAGGGAAACCCTATTCTATCAAGTTCATACCAATGAGACAAAGTCCAGGAGTCCAGGAATCTGCGGGGCTCAGCATGCCCTGGGGTGGCTGGAATGAGAAACAGGGTTTCCCCCGGAGCTCCCTCTGAGAACCCAAGGCTCCAGGCCCAAGCCAAGTGAGAACACAGAAGCCCAGAGGGGTCAGGGCCTTGTCTGAGGTACAGCCTGGAGGCACCTCGTTCTGGTCTCACCTCCCTCCCTGCTGTCTCAGAGCCTCTAGGCTGTGGCCAGAAGGGGCCCAGCTGTACCCAGGCTGACTCGGGCTGCAGGGCACGATCACAGAGGCTCCAGTAGCCACATAAGCAACTCGAGAAAGGATGGTGGCAGTCAGAGGGACAGGACAAGGACCCACATAAGGCAGTTAACGGGGCATTTTTCCTCCAGGGTCATGAAGAAACACGGTGACTGGCCTCTGGAGAAGAGCTGGCCATCAATAGAGGCTAAAAGGCCACTTAGCAGAGGTGCTGCGGCAAGGGACTGCCTTCAGGGTGCTCTGAAGAATACAAATGTTCTCATTATTTTGTAATGCACGGCAGTGAGGTGTTTTGGTTTTAATTAATACAGTGTATTAATATATATTTTGGAGCTGCATGCTAGATTCTAGCTCTACCTCTTGCTGTGTGGCCTTGGATGAGGAAATTCTTTCTGCCTCAGTTTACGCTTTTGTAAAACAACAAGAAATAAAAAGTAAAATAAAGATGAGAGCGGTTAAATTTGATGGCATATGTAAATGCACGTAGAACGGGGCCTGGCACCATAAATATTAGTTCGTTTTATTATCCTGGATTCTAAGAGCCCTCAGTTAAATAAACTTTTAAGAATGTGAGCTTCAGGCATTCAAAAGGCAACACCCTCTCTGGCCTGCAGCCAGAGCTGGTGGACCAGGGCAGCTCCAGCATCCTGGACAACTTCCACTGCTGCCCGCTTCCACCCGAGAGCAGCACCAGGCAGCCTGAACCAGATGGCTGGTGTGTGAAGGACTGTTCTGCTAGTGCCTTTCTCCTTCCCTAGACAGTGCTATGGCTCCCGGTTGTTGAATGAGAGAAGCCTGCAGTTGCTGCAGGAATCCATAGGGGTCCAGGGGAACTCGGGTCGTGGACCCCAGTCAAGGTGGAGATGAACTTTGCAGGAGGCCTATGGGAAGGACTCCCCCAGAAGCATTGGCACCATGCACCCAATGCCTTCTTTATTCCACTAAGCAGTATCCACCGTCTTGGGGAACAAAGAGTCCCGAGGAGAACCCCCACACATCCAGCTAACTGCCACTCTAAGGAACCTCCCAGTGAGAAGTCGAAGGGAACCCTGAGGTTGACCAGAAAGGCTTGGGATACGATCGCTAGGGCAGCAGCGCCCCCTCCTGGCGACGCCTGAGACTGCTAGCACTCCAAAGCTCAAAAGGAGAAAGGGGAACCCCTGAATGGGTCAGTTCAGTTGTCTCCCGTTACTCATGGCCCCACAGGGAGCAAGGAAACCTTCCAGGCCACTCCAGCCTCTGCTAGACTTAAGGGTTGGGCTGAGGCCAGGGCAACCTAGCTGGTTGCGTCTGCTTCGTTTCCTGTGGCTTCCAAATGCTGAATCAACACCTTGCCTGGCACTGGGTGGCTGCTGAGGGCGCTGCAGGATGCTCTGAGACCCCGCTGACCCCACCTGAGGACTACTGCTAAGTCCTAAGATCCTGTGGTTCACTGATGTCGGTCTGGGGCAGGACTGGGGCGGCCTGTTCTCCCCACCTGTACCCTTGGGAGGAGAGACAAGCCCAAGAGTGGAGAAGAAAGAGGGACGCAGGCAGGGAGCCGCCCTGATTCCCAGGCAGGGCTATCCAACGTACAAGTTTTTGCTCTTTCTCTTCTGGGAGGCTTCGTCACTGTCCCCAACCGTGTCCGCCCCACTCATCTGCGGAGAGAGGAGAGACACGTTGTGATCTGGGCATCCAGAGGCGACTGTCTGAGCAGATGCAGGCTGGGGGACGCAAGAGCTCTGACAAGCAGCCCACTCCACTCCCAAACGCCCCCCCACACACCCCACTACTTGCAGACAGGGGAGGGAGGGACCACGCCCTGGCAGCTGCCGGCACAGCTACTGGAGCTGGCTTGCAGCACCTCCGTCTGGCCAGAGGGTTCCTCTCCTGGTGCCTACTGGGCACCCAGCTTGGGAGCAGAAGCCAAAGATCAAGTCCTGATGGCAGAGTCCCTATGGTAGCTGGAGACCAGGGGTCTGGCAGGGATTCTGGGGTGTGACTTAACCGTTACTATCCCTCTCTGAGCCTCTGTAGCTTATTTTCAGAATCAAGATTTTTTTTTTAAGATTTATTTATGCGTACAGAACTGGGGTACAGGCCAGAGGTGCAGGGGCGGCGAGAGGCTTTACCAGAGACAGAGTGGGGAGCAGAACAGGCACAGATCGATGAAGTACACTGCTGAGGGGAGCAGCGGGCAGGTCAGGAGAGGTCTGCCGTGCCATGTGGTCACCCCCGGGGCAGGCGGGGATCGAACTCATGCGGAAGTGTCTTTAGCTTCTCAGTGCTGTGCTTTAACCCGCTGCGCCACCAGGGAGGGCCATGAATCAAGATTTTAATGACTGACTAACTCAGGTTTCTGAGGTTTGGAGGACAGTTGAGACTGGATAGCAGTGTTGTAGATGAATTTACACAAGCCTGAGAGCGCCGCTCATCTTAACTATTTTCCATGGCTCCCTCGCCATTGAGAAAATGTCTAAATCCCATAACACGACGCGCAGAAACTGTCAGCCGGAGGTCCGGGCAGCAGGTCTCATTTTAGTGTCAGATACAGATCTTCCAGTTATGCTTTCAACCTGAGCCCTGCTCCTGCCACCTCCTGGAGCTGCCCTTTGACCAGCTAAGACATCTCACCTGCCCTGTCTTCCCCCTCAGGGTCTTGCATGTGCTACTCCTTCCATGGAGGCTGTTTTGTGACTCACCCACTTCCTTTTCCTCCTGTGACCCAGTATTGGGAAATACCTAGAGTTAAGTCCCTGCTCCTCTGGGAAGCCCTCCCTGCCTGCTAGGTCACACGTGGAGGTCTCCACCACACACAGAAATCGGTCTCCAAATCGGTCTCCTCCGCTCCACCGTGAGTTCCCAAGAGTATAGCTTCTGTCTGCCTGACACATGTTAAAGATCTAATCAATATTTGTGAAAGGAACGAATCAAGGGGGGAGAGAATGAGAAAGCTGGGTTTTGAGGCACTCACCGCTTGATTGCAGGCCTGCCAGTTACTCCCTAGGGCTCCATGGCAACCCACAGCCTACCCACCCCACACCCCTCTGCTTGCCTTTACCTCTGCTGTGCCCCCTCTCCACTTCTCGCCAGCCTCCACCTCCTCATCGGCACCCCTCCGCCTTCCAGACCACTCCGGGTTCCCACCATTTCTATGAGGCTGCCCGCTTGCTCTCTAGCCCGGCCTATGCTTGCCCTTTTGCCTCTGTGGGAGACCCAGGGCCCCAACAGTGCAACCCCAGAGCAGGAGCCCGGAAAATACTCTGGGATGGCACAGGAGCTACAGCATGGGGTAGGCTGGCCATGGACACTACGTCCAGGACAAGCAGAAGGCCGCCACGCCTGTATTTCAGTCCTGAAGCCTCATGCATCCCCTCGTTCCTCGTTTATGAAATAAAGATGAGCTAAGCTTTCAAATGTTGTGCTAATTCTGGAAAGAAAGGTGACCTTTTCCCAGAGAGAACCAGCAAGGGGCAGCTCCTAGTGTCAGTAGAGCTCCCTCAATGGGTGTATGGGTGGATGGTGGGTAGATAATGGATGGGTGGGTAGATGGTGGGTGG